AGTTCCCATTTGCTAATGATTATCACATAATTAAAAGCTTGTTCGGAGGACAAGTAGCAAAATATTTTTTCCTGGAATAGCTCACCCCTCTGGAACTGTACAGACTTTCCTGCACTTGTGAAAGGCTTCATTCAGTTTTGGAAGAATGGAACTCCAATTCAGATACAGTAAGTAAGCACAGAAGAGATGCACAAAAAAAACAGTTTCTAATAGTAAACATCCACACCTGTGCTCAACCCCGATAGATCTACATGAATCCTCCTTTGATTATTAAATCAGAATATCCGTTCCATTATTCAGTACAGATGGGCTGAGCCTGTCACAAGTGTATTAAAGCCACATGACTTGACAAGGATTACATATAGTTATCTGCATCTGGAAGATGCAAAACTTGTCTGAACTAGCCATACTGCTGTGCAGAGCTGATAACCCACAAGGTGACCAAGGCAGGTACCTAGGGTCTGGTGGCAGTTCAGGGGTGTGCAGGTAGAACTGTAAATCCGAGTCACTTCTGTGCGTCTCTCAACCCGATTGCTCCTCTGTTAGACTGGGAGCACTGTGAGCCTGTTAAGGATGGAGAATTGGAGGCGATTGGGGAACTGCTGTTCTCCGATCTACTCTTCTGATCTGAACCTGGAAGTCTCTCACCTCTGAAACTTCCTCATTCAGAGGCCTGGCAAAGTGTGGGAATAAGCTGCAGATAGGAATTGTCCAACAATATGCATGCAGTGTTGGCAAAAGTATTAGGGGCCTAACATACCCCTGATGTTGCCATAAAGAGCTCCTGCCTCTACCTTTATACTCTTCCATAGAGGGTAAATTAATAAAATGTAAAAATACAAATTTCAAACAAAATGTAAGAACCCCGCACATATACAGTATACATGTGCCTATACATGTATACCGTATATACAAATTTACAAATATAGACAGACATATTTAGAGGACTACTACATTTATTTATTATTTATATAGCGCTGACAATGAATGCAGCGCTTTACATATTTGCACATTCATTCACATCAGTCCCTGAATTCTAGGAGCTTACAATCTAAGGTCTCCCTTAGATGCATACATACAGGGTCAATGTAGACAGGATCCAATTAAACCATCAGCATGTTTTTGGGGTGCGGGAGGAAACCGAAGTACCCAGAGGAACTCTACACAAGCACAGGGAGAACTCCTTACAGATAGTGTCCTGACCGGGATTTTAACCCTCAGTGCTGCAAGGCAGAAGTGCAATCCACTACACCACTGTACAGCCCATATGACGAATTAGCGATCACTACACCCACCAGAAGAAGAATATTGCAGGAACCATAATTTTGGTTTAAAGTGACATTAAAGTCAAAAACTCTTTTCCCTCCCCCATGTTAATGTTAGTACTTACCTTAAATGGTAAGTACCATTCTTCTTCTTTCGTGAGGTTTTCATCTGTCCCTCCAGTGGTGCGGAGGCTTACCGATCCAGCGCCGACTCCTCTGTCCCTGCAGGCACTTCCAATCCATCGGTGTCTGCATGCAGGTGCACGCGTCCATAGACTTACCTTGCGTCTCTGCTCGTCTCCGGGCCAAAAAGCCGAACTGCGCATGCGCCGGCCCCAAGATGCTTTGCGGCCGCCCGAGCAGTCCCGGATTCTTGGGCAGGAGCCCTCGGCCAAAACGGGGTAAGTTTAAACCGCTGTTAAAGCGTTTAAAAAAAAAAACCTTTTGCATATATTGTGTATTGTAGAATTTCCTGCAATTTTCCTGCAAGCACATACAATTTGAAGCTAGATATATTTGGTATGATCTGAGATGCAGTGATCCGCTGTGAGGTCTCTATGTAGCACTCTTATCTACATCACTATTTTGTACTATTTCCTACTGTCAGAATAAGGTAGTGGGTAGTAGAAGAGCTTGTAGTCTGTTAGAGAATAAGGGAGGATACCGAAAGTAGAAGGGTATACAATCTATTAGGGTATAAGGGAGGATGTAATATATATAATTTTAGACAGAGAAGGGTAGGATCGAAACCCCTATCAAATTACTATCCAGGACACCATGAGCAAGATTTTTCCTTATTTACTGTGCCAGTGACAATGGTTTCACCAAGCAGGGAGTAAGAAAAAATAAATCTCCAAAACTAAAACACAGGACAAAAAAATTATTTACATACATTTCTAGGAAATGCATTAAAAGTGAAAGTGTGAATGGCTTTTATCAGCAGTAAAATCCTTCTTGTATATGCCTTTAGAAATACCAAAAAAGGATTATCTTGGTTCAGACTCCAACAATGCAGGAAATGTGGAATAAAGAAAACCTTGAGGCGTCATAATTCCATGTTAGAAAAATTGGAGGGCATTGGTACAATCAGCCAGAGCACTGGAATTAAGCATCACCTAACAAATGAATGTTCCAGGGAAGAGGGGGATAAGTTGTTCTGGCAGTTGAGGTGCCCTTTGCTAAGAAAGCAATGTTATATATATATATATATTTATTAAAAAAAGTCTGTCCAAGCAATCTTTATGTAAAGAGTACTTGGACAAACTCCTTTAATATATTTAACTTTAACAAAATACAGAACAATAATTTGCTGTTGTGGAGCACAAGAAATGCCCTAAAATGTAACATCTTAAAAAACAGAAAAAACTTAAGTGAACAAGTGAGAATAGAAATATGGACCAGGCATTATTTTTTTTGTAGTAAATAATCAGACTTTGGGACTCACTAGCTAGCAAATCACTTACCAGGAAAAAGCATGCAGCTAGTGAAAAATACAGTCTGAAAGCAAACCTGCGAAAAAGCCAAGAAATGTAAAACAGCCCACAAGTTATAATTGTTAGAGAGAGTGACGTGTCAGCACTCTGTCATAAAATGTGGAGGGTGTTGTAAATCTAACTACGAGGAAAGCAAAAAATACTCTCCTGTTTGACTTTTGAAATACAGCGTAATGTTTTACCATCTGCTATTTTTAAGCTGAGGCAGAAATGAGCATATGGGTGTGCTTTTCTCCAGCAGATGTGGTCTACTTAGAAGTTATAATAATAGTCTTTCTGTAAAATAAATCATTTACATTCAAAACCTGGCTAGTTACAGCATTTGTGCTCTGGTTCTGTAGCCTGTAATTTCCAAAACTCTGAATGGCATTAATATTTTATGGCAAGTTTACAGAAGGCAATCTCACTCAGAAGAGCTTTTATTTCTTGCGTGTTACCAAAAATGGAAATGATTGAGCAGACTTTCTTACCTGATTTTAGCAACTACAGTTATAAATGATTAAGCATTGCCTGCTTTACACTAATGTAGACATGAGTAAGCCAGGACCATCTCCATTGGACATGACAAGACTAAAAATTGAGCAAGTCAGTGAAGAATGTAGCAGTTATCAAATGCCCATGACAAAATACAATATGGAGATTTCCGACCTGTTTTGCAATAGCATGTAAATGCATTAGAGATAACTGTACTTTTAATACAGCTATTTTTTAAATGCGTACCCCTTTCAAGTCTTATACTTGCCTGTTCCCGCTGCCCTGAGATCACTGCAGTGCTCTCCACTTGGGAGATTATTTCTTCTGCCCTCCTTTCAGTCATATGAAAAGTTCTTTAAAGCCCATCTCCAGACAAAGAAAAAAAACTTGCCCTGCGCTGCAAGGGTTAAGTGCAAGGGTTAAGTGCTTGTTTTTTGGGATGTAAATAAAGCCGTTTTGCTTACCTGATCCTGGCTCCCACAGCAGTCAAGGCTCACTTCTCCCCCATTGCTCAAGATGTTGTAAAGTCCCTGAGCATCCTCATATTTAATGCAGGCCAATAGACCTTCAAGACTGACAATGCCAGCGGTCCTTAGACTGCTCAAGCAAAGGGGAGAAGAGGATGCAGGGACTGGTTAAGAAGCCTAGACAGAGATGACGGAAGCAGGGACCAGGTATGTAAAACAGGTTAAATACTGTCCCCCAGACATAAACAAGCACACTCCATAGTATTCCCCTATGCTCCTTCTTGGATGCTACATAAAAATGTATGTAGGGAGGTAAAGGAAGAAGCAGATGAGTTGAGCCAGCACAGAGAGCAACTAGACACTCCCAGAAGAGTGAATGGACACCGACAACAAAAAAGCCTTTGGCCAGCACAGGCCAGCCTTGCTTACAACCACCATGCCTTTAGGCCCCGTTCACACTGAGCTATTTACCGCACGATATCGCTCTCCAATGCATCTCAATGGGGCTCTGTCCGTCGCTGTCGCGGGTCGTGTGTCGCTACAGCAGGACCCTTTTTGGAGTGGATTTTGCCGAGATTCTAGGTTGCTCAATGCAACCATTTGCGCGACAAACGCGCAAAATGCAAATCGCGCAACAAACGCGTGATTTGCGAATCGCTCAGTGTGAATGGGGCCTTATAGCAAAGAAGAGAGCATGAAAATAAACATATAAAAGGGAGAGGCCTGTGTTCCTCAATGAACTCCAAGAAAAGTATTTTACAGCAAGTACAAAAATCTGATTTTTTTTCCCCGTCTATTGGAGAGACACTTCTTACTCCCCAGCGCTTTGTCTGAAACCATTTCTGGGTGCTTTTTGACGTGTGCTTTGTATCATTGTCCTGCTGTAAAACCCATGACCTCTGACAGGGACCCAACTTTCTGACACTGGGCCCTACATTGCACCCCAGAATTATTTGGTAGTCTTCAGATTTCATAATGCCATGCACAGTCAAGACATCTAGTGCCTGAAGCAGCAAAGCAACCCCAAAACATCAGTGACCCCCCACCATGTTTGACTGTAGGGACTGTATTTTTTTCTTTAAAAGGCCTCTTTTCTTTTTCTGAAAACAGTAGAATGACGGGCTTTCCCAAAAAGCTGTAATTTTGTTTCATCTGTCCACAGCACATTCTCCCAAAAGGATTTTGGCTTCCTCAGCTAAGTTTTTGCTTTATGTTTCTGTGTCAGCAGTAAAGTCCTCCTGGGTCTCCTACCATAGCGTCCCTTTTCATTCAGATGGCGATTCAGATGGAAGTTGATGGAGAGTCTTTATCCACCATTCAAACAATCCTTCATGGCAATCTTTGAACAATTGTTCTCTTTCATCCACATCCAAGGAGATTAGTTACAGTGCCATGGGCTGTAAACTTCTAGACAATGTTGCGCACAGTGAACACAGGAACATTAAGATCTCTGGAGATGGGCTTGTAACCTTGAGATTGTCTATGCTTTTCCAAAAAACTTGAATGCAATTATTTCTTGTAATTTGGAGAAGGTGCCAATAATTCTGTCAATTCCATTTTTGGAGTTAAGCATGTAATGTGTCAGATTTGGCATTTTCCCCCCCACTTTTTTGTGTCATACCAATACAGACAAAATAAATAAACATGAGAATGCCTAAACATTTGTAATTGCAACCATTTTCTGTGTGAAGTGGTGCATTATCTGACAGAAACCTGCATCTACCTGCACTAAACGCATCAAAACGCACTAAAACGGAACGCATACAAAAAAAACAAAAAAAAACAAATAGAATTGATTGTGGCATCATGCGAGGGCATGCAGGGAGAAAAAACGCATCAAAAACGCATCACAAACGCGTCAAAACGGATCGCAATGCAACTGCGCAGACGTACGCAGCTGTGATGCATTTTCTGGTGTGAACTAACCCTCACTGTAAAGACAAGCAAGGTTTGTGCATAATAAAACAATCAAAATTTCAAACAAAATACGGGGGAGAATATTATTTTACCTTTATCTGGATGATTTAAAGTCATGATTTTCCGATGAGCTGCTCGAATCTTGGATTTGTTAGCAGATGGACTGTAAAAGTAAAGTTTTACAATAAACTGTATGAACTATCAAGTGTAAATTACATTTGATAGATTCAAACTTTTAGAACAAGCAGGACTTCTGCCATCTTGTGGTCAATACATAGTATTACATGAATATTTTAAATACAATTCTATTAGGACACTTGTCTTTTCCAAGTAATTAATTAGCTGACTCAGTAATTGTTTCTTCTACAGTTTAATTTAATGCAGTTCTGTCTAGATGAAGCAGAATAATTATTTGTAACTAAGTGGCTAAGCCAGCAATTCAGCCCTAATACCCTTGCTGATTGCGTGTTAGACACTGCAGCTCAAATTCTGACCATGACAATCATACACAATCTAAATTTTAAATCAGATTTTCATTGACAAATGTAATTAAAAACAAAAAAAACAAGAAAAAAAGCCTGTTCTATTAAAATTAAACACCCTCTGCGTTCCAGCACCTTGTCTTTCATTAAAGCAGAAAGTTTTGGGCTTATGATTATAGAGAAATGGATACAAATAGTCTTCCCAATTTCCAATGTTATATAGACACTGTAGCAGCTATGTAGTGATACAGAGAAAGAATCTGATGTTGCTGTAACATGTCATAGGGAAATTTTAAATAAGATATGCAAAGTAGACAATACATTTTTTTTGAAGTGTGATTATTAGGGATGCACCATACCGTTTTTTCGGTATAGAGTACAGATATTTTTTTCTTCGGTATTTGCCAATAATGAATACTGGAAGTCCCATTAAGCCAGGTGGCGTGTAATAACTCGCCATCCGGCTTCCCGATTATCATGGAAGCCGTCTCCATGCTCCGTCACGAGACAGCATGGAGCCGGTTTTCTGGCCAATCAGGAAGCTGGGCAGCGTGTAAGGGCACGTTGCCTTGCTTCCTGATTAGTCGAGAAACTGGCCAATCAGGAAGCCGGGCAATGAGTCATTACACGGCGCTCTTCCCGATTGGCCGAGAAGCCAGCTCCATGCTAACTCATCATCAGCCTACCAGGAAGCATGAAGCCGGCTTTCTGGCCAATCAGAAAGCCGGGCAGCGTGTAAGGACTCGCTGCCCAGCTTCCTGATTTCAAAACTTTAAGTGTCGAACCAGGCATGGGAGCATTAGGGTGCGTACGAGTACTCGCCCAAATACCCGGCATCGGCCTCGATACCGTTACTAGTATCGGTATATCCCTAGTGATTTTTTTGATTTGTGATTAAAGCCAAATAGTTATTCTTTGCAATGGTTAAAAGGATATGTCCACCTAAAAGTGATGTTTTGCTTTTAGGATGAGTACGGAGATATGAGCTTCTTATATGTTTTAGAGACTCCAACAGGATCTCCCGTCCATAACTCCTGACTCTGTCCCTGTTCAAATGGGAGTGAAGTGCTTCTGCACTCGTCGTATCCTACATAACACAAATAAAACATGGAGAGTGGGTCCTGTTTATGACCACAGGAGGTGTACAGACTGGGGAACTCAAGCACAGATATTACAGGTATATAAAAACTGTCAGGTACTATAACTTTCCATTTTCATTTGAATGGTCAAGAAACCTGCACAAGAAACAGACTACATTTCTCAGTATCTGCAATACTGTTTCTAAACAGACTGGCATCTTTGTAGAGACCAAGAGCCATCCAAATCTAACATACATTTGAACCACCAGATAGTTGTAAGGAGTTTGGCAACATAAAAGATTCCGAAATAGTAAGACACAATGGCTACACCTAATATAGGGCTCATTTATAAACAAAGAAAACAAACACTAAGGCTATGGAAATTGCAGAATAAAAGAAAGTAGATAATACCACAATCCTTTGTTTCACAATAACCATTATTTGATCATACTGTAATGTGCATGCATTAAGTTTTTCTTTCAGGCAGAATTGATTGTTTGACCAAGGACATTAAACTACAAAGTAAAAATAAGATTTCTTAACCTGCGCAGGGTTTATTATAATAGCCAATTCATCACTCATACCAGAGTTGAAGACTGTAGGATAATGCTGAAATAATCATCTAACTACAACAATAATAGAGCAGTATTGCTCCTTTGGGGTGTCTGTTTTAAAGTACAACTAAAAGCTCCTGTAAGGCACTCTAAATAAGGACTAAATCCAGTTACTATGCGATACCCAAGTATCATAAATTAAACAAAAAAACTTCCCTCATCTTCCTAGACTAAATCAAATCCTCCTTAATTTGTGTTTTACATGCTCTCCCTCCCAGGCACTGCAGGACACAGTGGGAGGGTTTCAGCAACAAAAGGTAGTGCTGTCAATCCAGAAAGCAGTGGGCAGAACTAAGTGTGGTCAGGTTCTGACTGACAAGCTACAGGCTTATAAATAAGCAGAGACAATGCAGGCAGCCACACCCCCCATAAAAAAATGTCATCCCACTGTAGCAGACACAGCCTACTTGAGAGTGACAACTCTGCTCTGATTGCAAGATTGGTGCAGCATCATTGTCACACTATCATTAGATGGCCTTGGCCCAACAGGACTTTGAGGGAAAACTAAGTGCAGATGAACTTGTAATCAAGTAGGAGGCCATAGTTCTACTTACAATAAAATATAGTATATAGTACAGTAAATCTTTGGAATTGATTTAGTCTCAGACAGACGAGTGATTGTTTTGGAAACCACAGCAGCACACCGTATCCATTGGATAATGCTCAGGGCTTTACTAGCAATAAGATGTTTGAAGGTTCACATTTCTACTTTATTTTCTTTGGTGGAAAATAGGCGGTTACTTGTCAGTGGTCTCCCTGGTGCAACTACCAGACATTCCTCTCTACCTTAGAATCCTGTGATTCCCACTTCCAAATCGACTATGCACTCAAAAAACAAGCAGGAGCAGAGCTCTGTTAATTGCACTATAGAGATGGATATTAAAAGGAGCACCTGCACCCATTTCTAGAAACAATTTAACTGGATGAAAAAATGATCTGCAGAAATCCTTTAAAACATTTATACTTGACATTTAGCATAGTCACTTTCCATGTCAAGGAGAACACAAGAAAGACACCCACCTGATGCCTAAAATTAGACTGGCTTCTCGCCTACTCATTTTCTGCTCAAATCCACCTTTGTAGTAATAGGAAAGGCTCTGCAGAAAGAGAAAAACAGGGTATATTGAAGAAATCACAGCAATGTAACGATATCGCACTCCTGGACGTGACCAGAAAGTGAATCTGGGAATTACAGTGATGGCTCATACGGTTCTGCCTTACTTAGAAAAGAAGTCAATTCACACTTACCGGAGTCGAGATTTTCTTTGCATTCTCTATGATAACTTGACCCAAGGGTTTCCACAGCTGGAGTGCAAAGCGACCTAGAAAAACCCACATAATTTATTGGTTCATTGTAGTGACTTTGTTAAAATGAAGGTTTTGAACCAAATAGAACAAACATGTTAGTAATGTGATATGCATTAAACTCATAACCTCAGGGCAACATTTGTAATAGAACTGTAATCTAGTTGTTTGGTAAATGTAAACTAATTGCAGCTTGTTATTAAATAAAGACCCTGGTTAGTTTCCTTCAGGGTATTTTAACAGTATTTCAGACAGAGAGTAAGGTAGGGATAAAAATAAAGCTACCCACAGGGATCAGCACTTATATTATTCAGGATAAGATTCTCTGTATGAGAAAATCATGCAAGATAAACCTTCTGAACTGAAACTCCCTCGTGTGGTTAATTATGACACTGAAGGATGAAACAGAAAAATTCCATCTAGGGATACTGCCTGCTCATTGCGAGTAATGCAGCACAGCTCTGGAACTAGACTTGTAAAAGAGATTTTATGGAGTACAACCTTGAATAGACATTATTACAGCAAGATGACTTTAAACAGTAAAAATGTGTTTTATCTGTGAACAACAGTATATCACAAAGTTTAGTTATAAATAAGGACATTCTTGGGAGAATTGACACTATTTCCCATTCCCATTAAAGAAGCTGTTAGTTATGTGTTTAGATGAAGCACTGAGATCTTGAGGAATGCTGAATTAAGTTTTACTTGCTTAGAAGGACATCAGAAAACAGCATTATAAAAGGAAACATATATACAGATAGAACTACCTGTGTATCATACATAAGTACACATAAGCGTATAGACTAATGTTGCACTACAGTGCCATCTACAGCTCAAATGACAATATTACATCTCTGAATGTCAGTAATACAATCAGTATGCTGTTGCATTTTCAATAGAAGGTACTCATTTTAATATGAGATTTAGATTTCAGATGCAGAAAGCTAGGCCTTAGTACCTAATCCATCATAGCTACAAGGCAGGTCTAAGTTAAAAAAGAACTCCAGAAAATTAAAAACATTTACCCTTACAGTGGTGCAACTGCACACTGCAAGGGTATCTAGGGGCCAAAATAAAGATAATACACTCACCTGATCCTGAGTCCTGCAGCAGCGAGCGCTTACCTCTCTTCCCCTAAGCTCTGGCAGAGGAATGTCACTTGGCGTACTCATATCTAATGCAGCTGCATTAGATGTGATAACATCACAGGTCCTTAGACTGCCGGAGAACCGAAGAAGAGGACGTGTGGAGCAGACTAGCAGCCGAGCGGGCTCGAGGATCAAGTGAGTATATTCCATTTATTTTAGCCCCCAGACCAAAACAAGCAATTAATGCTTGCAGTGTGGAGGTAGCCCCACTACAAGGGTTAATTTCTACATTTCATGGAGTTGTCCTTTAAAGTACATGTGAATCCTAACAATTAATTTCCCTTATTTGCTTCCTTTTGGTCTGTAAAATGTAACACTGAAAGTGTGTTTTCTTATATCCGTTTTACATACCTGTTGATTCTGTCAGAAATTTATTTAGCTCATCTCCTTATTATTTGTGCCTGCACTGTTATCAGCTCCACGAACTACAGAACACCTCCCTCATGTTATGGAGATAAGAGGAGGAGGTGTTTTGTCGTCCTAACACTTACTGTCCTACGGTGATAATGCTGCTCTTTCATCGATACAGTACAGTCAGTGAGCATTGTCCCCCTAGGACAGGAAGTGTGTTGCTGGCAGGATTACCAGGTGAAAATAAAGAAAAAAAGCCTGAAAACAGAAAACTAATGCAGCAATTACTAGGGACTGTTAAGCTGCAATATTTTCTGTTTTTGTTCTTGGGTTTAGATTGTATTTACTGATGGGCTTAAAGCATATCAAAACATTGTTATATTTGGGGGATCAATAGTTACTAGTGATAGATGTTATGAGAGTAGTCATTAGTTTTAGAGTAGTAAAATACATCATAATTATGCAGAGTTTAGGGCAGGGGTGGGCAAACTCTAGCCCTCCAGCTGCGGTGAGACTACAAATCCCATGATGCATCTGTCTCTGGGAGTCAGGCCTGTGGCTGTGAGAATCCTGCAATGATTCATGGGATTTGCCGTTCCACAACAGCTGGAGGGCTGAATGTTACCCACCCCTGGTTTAGGGAGACTAAAATGAAATAAATAGGTGAAACGTATTAAAAGGAAAAGGTAATCTGTTTGAAAAATGTTGTAGCATTGTCATAACTACCAATCAACCTTCATGTTCTGAGTCAAAACTTAATTACTTAGTACAGGGCTGGACAAATCCCAGGAGCCAATGTTCCTTAAAAAAAAGTGTCTAACTTTTGAGATTTTCTTCAGGTGGTGTGAATGGAGCCGACTAGGAAAAATCATGCTAGCACCTGGGTGGGACAGACTGGTTCCTGAATTCTATAGTAATTTGTTCACCCCCCAACTTAGTAATATTGCCTTATTTATGTCCATGTGCTTATTCGACTCAGATTATGCCCTAAAATTAAACCCTGAATACAAACTACCATAAATATTTAAACAGAGGAAAGCTCACCTGTCTCAGTTTGAACCTTAATATTGATCTCTCATTTTCCAGTGCTCCATAATCTTAGTGAATAAATGGCCTTTATATGAAAGAAAGGACTGGACACAGCTGGCCTGTTTCATATGAGCAGGGTGACCGGTGTCCTCATTGCCCTCATACAATCTATTCAGCAGCATTGGCACCACTGTGTCAGCACTGCTTGCCGGAGGCAGAGATCTGGAATAGATGGTAGCCAGGTTTACATAGCATCTCCACACTCAGTAACTCCCACCTCTTTAAAACTCTGTTCCGCCTGTTGCCATGCTCAAATCTTGTCCCTGGCTGCATTTCTGCCTTGGTGGGGAGTACAGTATTCTACAGTACAGAATGCTTACAGCTCACTGCAAAGAAGCAGAATAGTAGTCCTTCCATGTCACTATTTAACACAACTGCATTTAAAAAGGAGGTATGTAACAATCACCGAGATTCCCCATCAATGAAGGCTCGTACATGTATGCCGGGTCTGGGCTGCACATACCCAGTTTTCAGGGCCATGCTTACAGCAGCATAGCAGTAGCAGAGTATACAGCTCTACTTGCCCAGATATCAAGATGCTGCAGCTATGACAAGGAACTCGAGATTCTGCAAACCACAGCACTGCCCGTTATTAATTCACAAACCCCAAGCAAAATGTGCAGGCAGCCAGACGCACACTCTAAAGTCAGGTACACACGGTTTGAATTTTGTCTATTTGCTGATGTCGGCTTCCTTCCGCCTGGCATCCCTCAATCACCTGATCGAAGGAGCCAGATGGAAAATTCTTGGCTGAATGGAGCTAGCATCCAATCAGCTGCTAGCTTAGTTCAGGGAATCTGACAGCCGATACTAACCGCTGTCAGAATACATTGCAAGTCTACTATGAATACATAATTACCGGTGGTCTAGTAAATTAGTCAGATTTCGTCTGAGAGGAACGAGAGTATTTATTACACTGTAAATACATAAACTCATGTGTATTATTATTATTATACAGGATTTATATAGCGCCAGCAGTTTGCGCAGCGCTTTACAATATAAGGAAGACATGACAATCCCAATATAATTCAGAACAAGAATGTAAGGAGGGCCCTGTCCGTGAGGGCTTACAATCTAAAAAGGTGTACTGTATATTTTCCGAGAACACAATCCACTTGCATAGCTGTAAGAAAGTTGTAAAATTTAGAAAACACCGTGTGGTCAAATTTATTCTGGCTTCTAGTTTTCTACTTCTAAATTCTACTGAACTCTAAGGATATTGTCTCCTTAAAATGGGAAAAAAGATTTTCAGAGATAAAACAAGAAGGTACATTGAACAGTAATAAATAAGTTATGTTAACACAAAGAATAGATGGGTGGGGAGAGGTGCGGATAGTAGTCCAAGGCTCATGTAGACTAAACCAAAGAAGTTTGAATACATGTTGTGGGTGTGAAAAGTCCATTAGTGCCAATAAGGGCTGAAACCAACTAATCGATAATGAGAATCGTTGTTAACAATTCTCATCATCAGTTAGTTGGTCTGGGTCCCCTAGTTTTCTCCTCTGTGTTGGGAGCCAGTGTTTCATAGACCCCTGCAGCTAGTGCCCAGCGGTGAGAAGAGGTCCACCAAATCTCATT